CAATGGATTAATGGAATTTTCTATTACTAATGGAATTTTAATGGATCAACAGAATTTTCTATTCATAATAAAATTTTAATTGATCAATAGAATTTTCTCACAATGGAATTCCGATAGATTAATAGAATTCCAATGGATTAATGGAATTTTCTATTAATAATGGAATTTTGATGTATCAATAGAATTCTCTCACAATGGAATTTCAATAGATTAATAGAATTTTCTATTAATAATAGAATTCCAATGGATTAATAGAATTTTCTATTAATAATAGAATTCCAATGGATTAATAGAATTTTCTATTAATAATAGAATTCCAATGGATTAATAGAATTTTCTATTAATAATAGAATTCCAATGGATTAATAGAATTTTCTATTAATAATAGAATTCCAATGGATTAATAGAATTTTCTATTAATAATAGAATTCCAATGGATTAATAGAATTTTCTATTAATAATAGAATTCCAATGGATTAATAGAATTTTCTATTAATAATAGAATTCCAATGGATTAATAGAATTTTCTATTAATAATAGAATTCCAATGGATTAATAGAATTTTCTATTAATAATAGAATTCCAATGGATTAATAGAATTTTCTATTAATAATAGAATTCCAATGGATTAATAGAATTTTCTATTAATAATAGAATTCCAATGGATTAATAGAATTTTCTATTAATAATAGAATTCCAATGGATTAATAGAATTTTCTATTAATAATAGAATTCCAATGGATTAATAGAATTTTCTATTAATAATAGAATTTCAATAGATCAATAGAATTTTCTGTCTAATAAAATTTATATAGCAATAATAACCTCAAATAAACTCCAGATAATTTCTGAAGTTCAGGATTCAAAGCAGCATTTAAAACAGCCTGTGCTCCCTGTTTCGGAGTCTTGATAAACAGCCAAAAGAAAGGTTTTATCATCAGAGACGCTACAGTGCTCTTAGTGAAGCTCATATGTCGCATAATTTCAGTGTCCACCAGTCCAGGATGCACCGAGTTGACGGCAACCCCTGTACCAGCCAACTTCTTGGCCAATTCCTTGGCAAATAAAACATTAGCGAGCTTGCTTTGAGCGTACGCGTCTCCAGGGTCGTAACTTTGCTCGCTATTCAGGTCCTCAATCTTGATCTTTCCTCGTCTATGGGCCGTACTAGCGACCACAACCACCCTCGAAGGCGCCGAGGACTTGAGCTTGTCCAGGAGTAAATTAGTCAGCAGAAAGTGGCCCATGTGGTTCACTCCCAGCTGGGTTTCAATACCGTCCTTGGTGACACTCTTCGGACATCTCATCACTCCAGCGTTGTTTATCAGAATGTCCAGGCGGTCGTGCTCCTGGTTGAAGGCTTTTACAAACTCTCTGATGCTTGATTGAGACGCTAAATCACAGAGTCGGCAGTAAATGAACTTGTTCTTTGTTTCCAGCACGATTTCTTTCCTGGTCTGGAATTAATTTTCATTAATTAAATTTTAATGATGCAATTAAAAAAAATAAATTTTTTAAGACAATTGAAATCAATTTTGCGGATTATTATTTTAAGAATTAATTTAATAAAAAAATTATGGCAAAAATAATTGAGATATAAAAATTTTTAAAAATGAATATCAAATTAGCCGATATTTAAAAATTTTTATAATTTATTTTATTGAAAAATAATTTTTAAAAAATTGAAAGAAAAAATTTCTCATATTAGAAAATTTAAAAAATTATACGTGTAATTTTTTAAAAGTATTTTTTCAGTTCTAAGTTAATTAATAAAAAAAATTAAAAATTGTTTAATTTCGGCTAATTTTAGTATCATAAACGAAAAATGCAATTTTTTTAATAAATTTGTATGTTAAAAAAAATTAAAAAATGGTCAAATGACTGCTAACTTTAATGAAATTTAAATCAACTGACACTTGACAATTTTTTTAAAAGAATTAACACAAAAAAAATTATTTTTTTAAAGACTAAATTCATAATTTTTTCAAATTTTATAATTAAATTTCAGAAAAAAATTTTTCTTTATAATAATTTGAAATTTACAAATTTCTAAAAATTTTCATGTCTGTAAATATTGGTATCAAAATATTTTTAACAATAATAATAATAATAATAATAATAATAATAATAATAAATAGTATTTTTTAGCAGAAATTAAAAAATTTTTTGATCCATTTCATTAATAAAATTAGAGCTAAAAAAAAATATCAAATAAATTGCATTCCTGATTTTTGTAATTTTTCTTTACAATAATTAAAATTTCTAAAAATTATCAGAGGTCTGTTAATATTAACATCATAACTTATTTTTTTAATTTGAAAGTTTAATAATAATCAAAAATTTTCTAAAAAAAATTTTAAAAAAAAATTTTTTTTTATTAAATTAGAACTAAGAAAAATTTTTAAAATTGCACTTATAGTTTTTCAAATTTTCTACATGTGAAATTTTTCTTTTTAACAATTTTTTTCAATAAAAAATATCCTGAAAATTGTTAGGTATCAAGTTTTATTTTCTTGAATAATATAAATAAAATTATTTGATCTGAATAGCTCTTAAATGAATAAAACATTAAAAAAAATTGAAAATTTTATTGCTAAAAAAATTTATCTGAATTTTTTTCAAATAAAACTTTTGCTACAATACATAACTCCGATTTTTGTTTTTGAAAAAACTTGCAATAATAATTAATTAAAAATAAAATACTTACTAATAAAAATTACCTTTTCACATTTACCTAGATCTCGACATGCCATAACAATTTTAGCCTCTCGCTTTGCCAAATCACGAGTAACTTCTTTACCAATTCCAGTGTTAGCTCCTGTAACAATTATAACTTTATCCGTCAATTTTTCTGTACCTTCATAAGTTCTCCCGCCAAGCTTGTCCCTAAAAATAAAATTATTAACTATAAACTCAATCAATCAATCAATTACTATACCAATAATAACAAAAATTAAATTAGCCGATATCTAAAAATAATTTTAATTTTTTTAGTTGACGTAGTAAATTTGAAAAATTCCAAGTTCAATTTTTGGAAAATATTTTTTTATTGATTATAAAAGTCAAAAATTGTCAAATTTTTGCTAATTTTATAATTATCAATAATAATAAAAATAAAAATACAAATTTACTTGATTATGTAAAGAGTGCCGACTAAAGTGCAAACCGCACTACCAAAAACAGCTGACTTTGGTAATTTAATTCCCATGGTGACAAAATTTTTATTTAATTTTTTAATTAATAATAATTATTTTAAATTTTATATTATTTTTTTATTAAGGAGTAAACATCAACCCTCGACTTGGAGTCACGTGGACTACTAGCGGTGTTTAGGTTAGAATTTTGTAATAAAACTGGCAGCAGATGTCATGCTTCATGATTGAGAATATTTTTAAAAAATTTCAATAAAAACTAAGAAAAATTTATTTTTAATTACTTATCATAAATCATGACATTAAATTTAATTGTCACTTCACAATTTTTTAATTTTATTTAACAAAAAAATTTACTTCAAGAAATTTAAAAAAAAAAAAATTGAATTTCTAATTTTTAAAAATTTCTATAGTGTTAATTTTTTCTTTATATTTTTTTCTATAATTTATTTGTTACAAAAATTTTTAAAATTATCAAATATTTGCTAAATTAATTTTCATTAAATTATTTGAAAAGTTTATTGTTTTATAACATTAAAAAAAAATTATTTATCAAACTAAAAAATTTTGAAATTTATATTAAAATTTTTTTAATTCAGTACCAAATGTCAAAAATAAAAAAAAATAATTTTACTTACAAAAAAGTAATTAAAAAATTTTAATTTTTTAATTATCACTAAATAAAATACAAAAAAATCTTAATTTTATAAAAATTTATTCAAAATAAAATTTAATAAACATATATATTTTCTTAAAATTACATAAAAAAGTTGGCACTTTTGAAAACTCAGTCATCTCCATAATCAAACTCAAGCCCCGTATTTTTGAAATTTTTTTCCGCCCAAAGATCAAATTTCCTTGTCAACTCATCATTCATATGATTTTTCCAATCCCCGATTTTTCCTTTCCGAATAAATTTATCTATTCCATTATTATTCTCACATTTTTCACCATTTCCATTAGATGTTCCTTCAATTTTATTCCCATTTGCCAAAACCGCTTCTAGATTAATCGCCGGATTGGCGGCCATTTTAGAAAACTCCAAGTGACTTGCAAGGGCTATAACCTGTTCTTCAGACAGTGATTTGCCTAAAAAATCAGCTGTTTTGTGTATTGCGGTAATTTGGTCACGCTTCATTTCTTCGTAAGTAAGGAACAGAATGTTTTCTTCGTTCCGGCGGTTCCAGAACGAGAGAACGTGCTGCCAAAATGGATTCATTGGAGCTGAAAAATTTTTTGTAAATACTTGAACAATTAACATCATTATTAATTATTAATTAATTAATTAATTAATTATATATATATATATATATATATTACCAGTGTCATTAACAAATAACTCAGCAAGTTCTTCAAATGTTCCATTGTAATCATGCATTAATTTTAAATAATGGAACAAACTGACGCATGTGTCTTTTGGGTTTCTTGTCACGTATATAACCTTAAAAAAAAAAAAAAATAATTAATCACTTGTCAATATTATAATTAATAACACTTATATTTTCAGACACTTGAAAATTTTTTGATTTCTTAAAAAAAATGAACTAGGTCTAAAAAATTATTTTCAAAAAGTTGGATTTATAATTTTTTTAATGATACTGAAGTTAACTAAGAACTGTCAATTTTTTTTATTTTATAATAAATCAATTACAATAATAAAAAATGCTTTCTAAAATTTTCTCTTGTTACTTTTTTTTTAATTTTCACAGGTGGAATTTTTTCATTAAATTTTTTTTTCTAATAATTTTATTGCTATAAAATTATAAAAAAATTTTTAGTCTGTCAACTTCTTCTTAAAAAAAAATCTAAAATAACCTAAAAATGTCAGCTGATACTTTCACTTTTATCAAAAATAGGTTTATGTTATTAATTTCATTAATTAATTACATTATTTAATAAAATTTTGTTAATTATAAACTTAAAATTTTTTATACAAATTTATAAAGTAAGAAGCTTAGCCCAAAAAATAAAACGAGTTCCAACCTTAAAAGTTTACCCCCTATCGTAGTTTCTCATAACCTTAGTAGTTTATGCGACTTTAAACAAATGAAGAAAAAAAAATTATTAGTTTTTGAATTACACGGAAAGAACAAGATGACACTGGGTATCATGCCAGATTATACTCAGTGACATCTGTGACGAAAAAAAAAATTCAGATAGTAGCTAAAAAAATCCAGATTTTAATGCGTGATATCTGGATTATACTAGCTACTATCTGAAATTTTTTTTCACTCAGTATAATCTGGGATGATATCCAGTGTCATCTTGTTTTTTCTGTGTATAAATTAAAAAAATTAATAAATTACAAAATTAAAAATACAAATTAGAAAATTTATAATAAATTTTGTCAAAATTGAATGCATTAATTTTAAAAAAAAAATTGAGAAGATAAAAATCAAAAAAAATTTTTTTGTCTTCTAACTTCAGTTTGATCGAAGACAGACTTATCAATGAATAAATAAAAAATAATACAAAATTAATCTAAATTTGAAAAACGTTCATAAATTATGTCATTTTTTTGAACTTCTAAAAAAAATTTTTTTCTTTCTATAATTTATATGTTGAAAAAATTCTCAAAATTATCAAGTGTCTCTCAATTTCAATAAAATTTACAATTAATTATTTAAAAATATTAATTAAATTTATACTTTTGGTTTTTTAGATTTTATTTGCTGAGGCAATAGTTCCCATGGTAAGTGCGTTTTTACATAACGCGGTCTAGCTGTTTTCTCAACATTCTCTACAGAATTTCCAAACTGTGAAAAAAAATCAACGTATTTTCCTGTCACCATCAACGCCGATGATCTGTAAGTAAAATATAAATTATTTCACTTATAATAATAATTAAAAAAAAAAAAATATATCAATTATCTTCTTACTCTAATAAAGGATTCCGAATTAACAAAGGAACTTTAGCTTTTTCAAAATCAAGGTCATTTCCGATACACCAAACCATTTCTTGGGCCCAATGACTTCCTATAAAATATTTATCATCATCATAATTATTATTAATTAAATAATTACCAATTAAATAATCAAATACTCAACCTGTTCGTGGATAAGATACCATCCAAACGTCATCTGGATAGATCTCCATGTCGCGAATCTTCTTCCCTAGGGTAACATACTGAGGCGGCAGTAAACAATTACCGGGTTCAACGCGCAAAAAACTTGTTTGCACCCCAAACATGCGGTCCAGCGTTGCACCGACTTTGCCTTCAACAGTTGTAAATTTCAACTCCATTTAAAAAATATTTTTATTTTTCCGATAACCTGAGCGATGTTCACCGTGCAATTGCTTCGAATGCAACTGCACCAAGTTGATCTTTTGCTCAGAGAAAAAAAATTATATGCATTTAAAAACGAGTTTTACTCGATTTCTCGGTGTTAGTTTTTTTGATTTATTATCATTACTTTCCCTGATGAAAATATGTGAAGAGAAAGTTGCATGAAAGTAACAGTCTAATGGCTGCATTTAATTTAAGGAGATCCAAGTACCCTCTTAGTGTAAAGAATATCTATCAAATAATACGTAGAAATACTTTTGTTATGCGTCTTAAAATTAATTAATAAAATTTTTGAGGAAATCTCTGAAAAATTTACTCATTAAATAATTATTAGGGTAAATGCACCAGTTATTGACCGGTCACCAATTAGTTGACCGATGTATAAAAAAATTAATTAATTAATATTTTACAAGGGTTTTTTTTTTCTTAAAGTATTAAAATAAAAAAATATGGCATTTAATCATCATAATAAAAAATTACGCAATTAATTGCGCAGTGATTATAGCTTTTAAAAAATATTCAGAGTTTGTTTACAACGCAACCAGTTATAAAGCGGTCAACAATAACTAGCGTACAATTGGAGAGTGAGTGCATTTCATCATTAATTTAGTGATATTTATCGGTATAATATAAAATATTTTAGTTTTATTATGTTAATTAAGGATCAGATTCCAACTTTTTTGAAAAAATAAAGTTAAATTATAAGTTTTAATATTATTTTAAGACCGGTCAACTATTGGATCCGTCAGAAGCCCTTTACCCAGTCAAAAATTCATTCGGTCATTTATTAGACCCTCTGATTTTATCACAATCCAATTACTGACCGTATATTATTTATAATACTAACTTCTAAACCTCAAAATTAAATCTGTCTAGTGTTTAAAGTACATTAGTCATTCAATATTTTGTAAATATAAAAATAATCATTATAAAATGTATACTTATAATTAAAATAATACTTAAAATCTTTTTTGAGTATTAAATTTTATTTTGTTCTAATTTTTTTAATGAACGGTTATATCAAAGAACGAATCATTAGAAGAAAAAATTGCTAAGCAATTAAAAAAAATAAAAAAGAGTTACAAGCTAATAAAAAAGCTTTAATTGAAAAAAAGAAAAAGAATAAAAAAATTTCAAGTGAATCAGAAGAATTATCATCATCAAAATGAATTTGTGATTATTAGTGACCTAAAGAAATGTGACTTTATGTTAATTATTGCTATCACTTATATTATTTTATAAAAAAGTACGATTCAAAATTATATTGTATGTTTAGTTTTGTTAAAAATGTCGTTAATACTTCAAAAGTACTCCATAAATTTAATTACATACATGTAGTTAACAAAATTACTTATAATTATTTGAGCGGTCAATTAATTGGAGAACGCTCGGTCATTTATTGGGTTTCTTCGGTCAATAATCGGTGATTTTAATATTTCAACACTCAAATAACAAAATTAATATAATTTAAGTTAATTTTGATTATAAATAGTTATTAATTATTATTAATTAAGTATTTAACTTTAATAAAATCCATTACAAATTGTTTTTAGTAGGTTAATAGATTTTTTATAGCTTAGTACAGAAAAAGAAAACCTTAATTGGTCAATAATTGGTGCATTTACCCTAAATTAAATTATAAAATTTTTTTGAAATCGTTTTTTTTTTAATTATTAGACTACTTAAATTGAATTTACAAATTTTCAGGAAGTTTTAAAAATTTGACTACTTTACGTGGATCTCCTTAAGGCAAGCGCACATTATTTTTATACAATTTTTTGTAGAATACTAGGCTAGTAATAAAACACGAAAATAAATTCAATCAGGCATTTAATTAATAAATACGTTGATAACAAATAACGCGATATTGTTAATACCCCGTTAAATTGCATACATGAAAATTTACATTATACAGTACAAATAAATAATTAAAAACGTGGAATAAAAAAGTTGTAAAGTCTTCATCTTCATAGTGAATCAAGTTCCACGGTAAAGTTGGTGCATGGCATCCAGGAGGCAGTAGATAACACGCTCTGCATGTTATCTGGTCCAAATGTCTGCCATCCAATCGTCGCTTAGCTCGTCGTAAGGCAGGACCTTAAGGTTTCTTAGTGCCTCAAGATAAAAGGTCAGCTCGGAAATCACGACCCCGTGTTGGGGCCCGCCGTTATTTACAATGTTCATTTTGAATAATTGTTCCCGTAGTTTCTCCTTGAAGGAGCTGTTTACCGTCCGGTAGAGCGACTGGACGTCAGCTGCTGGTAATATTCCGGAAACTGCTTCGTGTAATTTCACTAAATGTCTGCAATTTATATCACAAATAAATTCGTACCAGAACTTGAATCTAAAAAATTTTTTTTACTAAAATTATATCAAGTACCTGGAAATATTGCGGAATGACTGTGAGGGCACTGGAGGACGCGCGTCCCAGATAGAAATTTGTCCACCTACTAAATTGTCAACAATTGTCAAGATCTTGCCCTCTATTTCTCTAATGTGCGCGCGCACATCGCGTTCCACGCTATCCAGCAGCGCCACCCCACCTGTTCCTCCGACAGTTCCTCCTAAACCTGGCCCGCGGGTAGAATTTGCTAATTCTGAAAAATTCAAAGATATTGATCGTTGATATCTCTATAAATTACACAAATACACGGAAAAAACAAGATGACACTGGATATCATCCCAGATTATACTTAGTGATATCTGTGGTGAAAAAAAAATTACAGATAGTAGCTAAAAAAATCCACATTATACTGCATGATATCTAGATTATACTCATTATAATCTGGATTATACTCATTGTAATCTGGATTATACTCATTGTAATCTGGATTGTACTAGCTACTATCTGAAATTTTTTTTCACTCGGTATAATCTGGGATGATATCCAGTGTCATCTTGTTCTTTCCGTGTAGAAAATTTAACGGAATTCAACAGATGTCTAAAAATTTTTTAAATTTTTATAACAATTAAATTTGATAAAAAGAATTTTACACAGAAAGAAAAATTTTTTGACTGGAGAACAAAATTCTTGGCTCAAGAAAATTTTCGGATGCCTAAAGGAAAACCGAAGATGTGTTGGCTGAAGTAAAAATTTTTCAGTGATATAAAATTAATGCAAGTTCTCTATTACTATTACTATATTAAAAACACCGTACCTTGGAAATGCGACTTAACAAATGGCATACACCACAATAAAAGCTTCAAGCTACGACTGGCAAGCACTAAAATGGTGCTGGTAATAGTCTTCAATCCCGCGGCTTGCATCGCACCAGCGCCTAGCACCAATTGGCAACACCGCGAATTGTAATGACGAAGTAACTCTGCTAAATAACGCCCTATACTTCCAGACAAGACTTGCAATTCGGTAGCTATACTATGTAAAAAAAAAAAGTTTATTAATTTAAAATAATTAAATTAATTATAATAAAATTAAATTTATGATAGCTTACCAACAATACTCATCAATCATTTGTACAAGCTTAATAACAGAACTAACAACAGCAAATTGTTCATTATCGATAGTTAAAAAATTTTTTACATCACTAAGTCCACTAGGACAATCGTTAATATTATTACTATTAATTTTTACAGACAATAATTCTTTGGGAAATTTTTTAAACTGATGAACGCGGTCTATTAATATCTGAAAGTCTTGTGGAATATCAGCCTGCTTCCACATTTCGGTATCTAGAAGTTGACTAAGTTTTTGTTTCCTTTCATTGTGGAACCTCTGTACAAATTTACTGGCGTGTATCTACAAAAAACATAAATATTACTAATATCATCTATATTATTAAGAGAATAAAAGAAATTTTGTGTGCACGATAGTCATACACTGATTAAAGGATTTCTTAGTATTTAAGAAGATTTCTTTGTATTTAAGAAATATATATATATATATATATATATATATATATATCCTTTATCGAAGTCTGTTCAAGCACTGGTCCCATTTTTATAAGTGTTCAAGTACTCAGTACTTTACCTTAGGTTGCATATAAAAATTCTCTATCTCTAGATCCATAATTAAGAAATGACTTTGTATCTTGTGAACTATTGACATTTTTAAAAATATAAGCTCATCTCGATGTTACACTCATCAAGAGCTTTCATTTGAGTACCCACATCAATTTTTCATATATTTATATATTTTATATACATGTATATATATGAAAAATATATGAAAATGCATGTGGGTACTCAAATGAGAGCTCTTGATGAGTGTAACATCAAAATGAGTTTATATCTTGAAAAATGTCAATAATTAAAAAATGACCTTGTATCTTCTGAACTATTGATATTTTTAAAGATATAAGTTCACCCTGACATTAAGTTTATCAAGACCTTTCATTTAAGTACCCACATCAATTTTTCTTATATTTATATATGTTATATATATGTATATCAAAAATGCATGTGGGTATTCAAATGAAAGTTCTTGATGAGTGTAAAATTAGGATGAGCTTATCTTTTATATCTATAAAAAACGTCAATAGTTAAGAAAATACAGTGCAATTTAACAAAAGTCATTATTTTATAAAACAAAATTTCATTTATTTATAGTTAACAAGTCACGGCAGTCACATATTGACTTCAAGGTTGCAATTTTCATTATTATCAACTTTAAAGCTTGACTAGAAATTTGAATAGCGCGCCTAAATTTTAACCAATAATGAATCGTGGCCCGTTTTTTGCGAGTTTCGACTTTTGACTAACTTCAATACTTTCATGTATTTTAATTTAGAGGATAAATAATAATACTCACTTTAAAGGCAGAACGAAGCGCAGTGCACTGTTTACCGCATATCAATTCACAGGTATCGGTAAATTCGTCAATGATACTCGCCAGTTGGCAAACCTGAGTGACAGTGGCGCCACGGTCACTCAGCCATGAATTGTCATCTTTGAGTATCGAAATTGCCTCTTTGTCGCTGTTGAACTTATTGTTACTATTAACTACAGTAGCTTCTTTGTTAGACTCATTTATATTCTTCTCTCGGTCATTATTTGCAGACACAGAAGGTGAAAGTAGTTGACTTGCCAGTCGTTCATGACAATAATCACATATTGTTGATAACATATCATTAAGCTTATTCTTAACCCGTAAGTATTCCTCGGTTGTTAATAATTTATCTATATTATTTCTATCTACATTATCACTGGATAAAGATGCTGTTTCACTCATTACTTCGTACACAGCCTAAAACAAATATAATTAAAAAGGTTGTATTTTTTATAAGTTTACTCATTTTCTTTTTATTTTAATCAAAGTTATTAAGACGAAATGAAGAAATAATATTTCAATAATTTATTTTTGGTTATTTTGAAATTAAAAATTATTTGAATTTGAATTTTAGCGGGAGAGTGACGTCGTATTATATCCGGTTGCGCAACGCCATCTTACAGTGAATTCAAATATTATTCATGTTTATACTGTCAATTCAAGTTTTTCCGAAAAATTGCAATTTTTAAATTAAGATATAAAAACCAAATATTGATTAGATAGCATAAAAACTTGATTTTAAAAAATCTAATAATTTAATTTTATATTCAGTATGTAATTATCAATTTTTAATTATACTTTAAGGTAATTTCGGTGCCAAATGACTTTAACTTGACCTCATATTTTTTTATATTCATTCGAAAGGTTATGATTTAATATATCTATATAAAAAAAAATCAGATTTTTTCACCACATTAATAAAAAAACAATTACCCTAATCCGCATCAACAAACTAGTCAAAGATTGAATAGTACTCGACAATAAGGTCAACCGTTCAGTCAACGACAAACCAGTGACCTCTAGCGCAGCAGCTTGTTGATCACTACAACAATCACTGGCGGCTAGTGCTTCAATAATACGTTGCTTGGTCACAGCACGAATTGTCGTAATGCTTTCTTCCTTGTAAGTATCAATAAATTGAAAGTGCTTCTGTCTCAGCAGTCCCGATATTATTGACACCAATTTATCCTGCCAATAAAATATTCAATAAATTAATCAATAATCACTGATTAAATGACAATTGATCCTTGACACTTACAGCATCCAGAACAGAATAGTCAGCGGTGAGTGGTCGGTTCAGATCGGCAGTCGAGTACCTTTGGAACTCGGTGAAAAGCATCTTGTCGACCAGCTTCTCCATTTCAGTCAACTGGGAACTCAAGTGTCGGAAGCTCTGAATACCGTTGAGTTCCTGGTGCAGGATTTCTTGGGTCGTTGATATTAGATCAAGTGCTGCGACGTAATCGGGCGTCGAAAGAAGCAACTGGATCATTGGTTGGCTCTGATGAACAGTCGCTATAAGTTTTAGTTTTTCGTAAACCTGGAGTCTGTTCGATCGCGCTCTTTCTAGCCTGAAATTAAAAAAAAATTAATCATTAATTTATTTTTTATAAAAATAAATTAGGGTAAATGCACCAGTTGTTGACCGGTCACCAATTAGTTGACCGATGTATAAAAAAGTTAATTAATTAATATTTTACAAGGGTTTTTTTTTTCTTAAAGTATTAAAATAAAACAATATGGCATTTAATCATCATAATAAAAAATTACGCAATTAATTGGGCAGTGATTATAGCTTTTAAAAAATATTCAGAGTTTGTTTACAACGCAACCAGCCATAAAGCGGTCACCAATAACTAGCGTACAATTGGAGAGTGAGTGCATTTCATCATTAATTTAGTGATATTTATCGGCATAATATAAAATATTTTAGTTTTATTATGTTAATTAAAGATCAGATTTCAACTTTTTTGAAAAAATAAAGTTAAATTATAAGTTTTAATATTATTTTAAGACCGGTCAACTATTGGATCCGTCAGAAGCCCTTTACCCAGTCAAAAATTCATTCGGTCATTTATTAGACCCTCTGATTTTATCACAATCCAATTAATGACCGTATATTATTTATAATACTAACTTCTAAACCTCAAAATTAAATCTGTCTAGTGTTTAAAGTACTTTAGTCATTCAATATTTTGTAAATATAAAAATAATCATTATAAAATGTATATTTATAATTAAAATAATACTTAAAATCTTTTTTGATTATTAAATTTTATTTTGTTGTAATTTTTTTAGTGAACGGTTATATCAAAGAACGAATTATTAGAAGAAAAAATTGCTAAGCAATTAAAAAAATAAAAGAGAGTTACCAAGCTAATAAAAAAGCTTTAATTGAAAAAAAGAAAAAGAATAAAAAAATTTCAAGTGAATCAGAAGAACTATCGTCATCAAAATGAATTTGTGAATATTTGTGACCTAAAGAAATGTGACTTTACGTTAATTATTGCTATTATTTATATTATTTTATAAAAAAAAGTACGATTTAAAATTATATTATATGTTTAGTTTTGTTAAAGATGTCGTTAATACTACAAAAGTACTGCATAAATTTAATTACATAAATGTAGTTTACAAAATTACTTATAATTACTTCAGCGGTCAATTAATTGGAGAACGGTCGGTCATTAATTGGGTTTCTTCGGTCAATAATTGGTGATTTAGTATTTCAACATTCAAATAACAAAATTAATATAATTTTGTCAATTTTTATTATAAATAGTTATTAATTATTATTAATTAAGTATTCAACTTTAATAAAATCCATTACAAATTGTTTTAGTAAGTTAATAGATTTTTTACAGCTTAGTACAGAAAAAGAAAACTTTAATCGGTCAATAATTGGTGCATTTACCCTACATATTAAAGAAATTACCTGAAATTGTCTCTTAATTGACTCATTTTTTTCATGTAACCAATTGAAATGATTTTTCGGAAACGAATCGGTTATTTTTTTGAGCAAGCCGTAAAAAAGACTGCTGACGGAATGCGAAGATCTGCAAGTTGAATACCTCAATATCTCTCCAAGAACGCTTTTCCATTTCTAATGCATAAATAAATTATTACAGGTTTGATAATTAAAAATAAATAGATAATAATAATAAATATTATATAAAATGGTGATAGAAAAATTTTAACTTACTAAAGGAGCGTTTGTTTCTTCATCGAAAACAGTATCAACACCTTCCAGTTTAAGAAGCATAGTTGATGATGCTTCAAAAGCATACTTAAGATCCGGTATATCAGCCTAAATTTTTCTTTAATTAGAAATTTTACTCAACAACAAATAGAAAAAAAAAGTCATACCTTGTGAGTTTTAATTCCTTGAGAGCTTTCCAAATGTTGAATAAACTTGTGAATACCGGTTATTATTTCAGAATTTATTTTGTGAGTAAGAAATGATGGTATTTCTTCAAAGTAGTAGAAATTAATATCCTTGATATTAACCTAAATCAATTCATTTACATTTAAAAATAATCAATTTTTAAGAATTTTAATATTTACTTGCTCATTGGTATGCGAAATAGCAACATCCGACTGCATCATTATTTTCAAAAAAAAGAATAGGTCGTCAGCGTATCTAACCATTGGCGCAAGGGTCAGAAATGAAGGCCACATTGGATCTGCTGAACCTGGCATGTGTCCGTCAGTTGAAACCCATCCTGGAATAAAATAAATTTTATTTAGGCTGCATTCGAAAATGCTCTATCTCTAGATACTTAATTAAGAAATGACCTTGTATCTGGTGAACTATTGACATTTTTAAAGATATAAGCTCATCCTGATGTAACTCTCATCGAGACCTTTCATTTGAGTACCCACATCAATTTTTCATATATTTTATATATATATATTATATATATATGTATATATGAAAAATATATCAAAATGCATGTGGGTACTCAAATGAAAGCTCTTGATGAGTGTAACATCAGGATGAGCTTATAT